AACAAACTGACAAGCAGACAAACAAACAATCAAACAAACAGACAAACAAACAATCAAACAAACAGACAAACAAACAATCAAACAAACAGACAAACAAACAATCAAACAAACAGACAAACAATCAAACAAACAAACAGACAAACAATCAAACAAACAGGCATCCTAAATTTAACATCCATTCATTCTTTTAATACAACAGTCATTTCTGCAGTTTTTGGGGAGGTCACCTCCTAATAAATGTCCTTACAGAAAATCTAACTGCTCATTTTAAATCTATACTTTGACTTTTAATATTTGACTTAACTACAACAAATATCACATACTTTAAGACTTTTACTCAAGTAATATTCTTAAAGGAAACTTTAACTTTTACCAAAGTAAATTTTTGGTAAGATACTTGTACTTTTCACTGTAGAGCATTGTATTCACCAAATAAAAAAAGGACTCCTGATCTCATAATTATGAGATCCTGATCTTGTAATTATGAGATCAGGAGTCCTAATTGTTTTTATTTGGTGAATACAATGCTCTACCGTAACTTTTACTCAAGTATCACTTTGTGGTACTTTATACAACACTGTTAATAACATTTAGCAATATTTAAATAACTGGAAAATTTAGACAGAGATATAACTGGTTTGGATTGGCTGATTTGCCACAGATGGTCCCACCCACCTTCAAATCATCAAATCAAACCAACAGGAATCTAACAGGTCTAATTTAGCATCTGTTTAGTAGTTTAGCCTTAGTGAAGCTAAGATTCATGTTTAGCTGTGCCCTCCACTGTATCCTAATGATGTTGGCCATCCCCAAAGGAGGTCAGGAAGACACTTCTGATCTGTTTAGAGGTTGAGAGACTATTTCCATCCACAGAGTCTGAGACTGTTATTAATAATATCAGAAAGTCAGCATGTAAGTGAGGAGACACTTAGAGCTGACACGGGCCACTCTATGTGACACTTACAGAAACACATCCAATGTACACATGATGAAAGTTTTACAGATAAAAACAACATGATGATACTCACAGACAGGCCCAGGCAAACACAGTCCAGGAAGGCCTTAAAGACAGAAAGCAGCTCTTTCTTCCCCATCACCAGCAGAACCAGGCTGAGAACAGGTTCAGTTCAAGCAGAAGAGAGACTGATAAGAGAGACGTGAACAAAAAAAAAAAGGAGTAGTGGATGAGGCGGCAGCAGGTTAGCTGTAGCGTACAAGGAGCTGTAGAGAGACAAAGCTGAGAGGACAGGTAGAAGCATGAATATAAATATGAGGAAGGGGAAAAAAAGGGAACGGTAGAGGACGCAGAGTTGTGACAAAGTAAAAAATAGCCTGCGGTGCTGTCAGCAGAAACCTGAAGTGAAGGAAAGACATCCGTTAAGTCTCGCTACGAAAACCCAACAACAGGAAAAAACAGAAAACAGAACAAAAACAGAAAAACAGCAGGACTCGACGCCACCACAAGACACTAAAGCAGCAGAAGCCAGAGACAAACACGGAAAGTGGGGGGACAAAAATGACACGGCAGTGGCAGTGAGGGCAAGCTGAGACACACGCTAATAATAAACTATGTTCACTATGCCCCCCAAACACCCACCCCCCATGGGAAAGTCCTCAGAGGAGAATCAAGATGAGTGAAGGAGGCGAGAAAGATCACATTTCAACTTAAACATTTATTCACCAACAGAAAGCAGGCGAAGCTTTCATTAACATTCCTGTCATTACAATAAAAGCACATGAGCTCAATCAATTCAAATGATTCAACAATTAACAGTAAAAACAAATAAACAACAAACTGACCGAGAATCTCATGAAGTCCATAAAACTGGTTGCAGCGATGTGTAACGATGATGCAAATAAACTGATTAAAACAAGGAAAACTCTTTAAAAACATATTCGTTTAAAAGGTGTCGATGCATCACGTCAGTAACAGGATGTTTAAAGAGGCTGAACTGAATCATTTCTAACAAACACAAAGAGTAAAAACCCATCAGAGACCCTCCAGGTGAGCCTCTTCATAGTTGACTCCAGGAAAGATGAGGATGTCCCCGTAAGGTTCGTCCTGCTCTGCTCTGATGGTTCGAGACGACAAGTTCTCTGCAAAAACACGACATGGATACAAAAAATAAGTATGCTTGTTACTTACCAGAGTTGCAAAGTAACTAAGTACAAATACTTAGTTACTGCACTTAAGTAGAATTTTTGAGTATCTGTACTTTACTTAATTATTTTTCAGTGTACTTTTTACTTTTAATCATTACATTTTTACACAATTATCTGTACTTTCTACTCACTACATTTCTTTAAAAAGGTAAGAAGTAGAAAGTCGTTACTCCTATTTTATTCAGAGTTGTTATTACTTAAAAATCCTGTCCTGATAAACTGTCTCCTGGATAGAGTGAATTTAATTGTGTTTGGATGAGAAGTATAAATATATACCATTCTGACACACTATTAGCTTGTACACAACCCATCACAGCTGCACGCTGTTAGAAAATATATTTTTTGGAGAAGTCACCTCATTTTGGAAAATCTAACTGCTCATGTTTACTCAGTACTTTTACTTTTAATACTTAAGAAGTCTTTGTGTCAGAAATTTACTTTTGATACTTAGGTACAAAAAATATCAGATACTTTAACTTTTACCAAAGTATTTTTATGATAAGATACTTTTACTTTTACTCAAATGGTAAATGGTAAATGGTAAATGGTAA